ACATTTGTTAAAGCAAAAAGAGTGTACAGTTCTTACCTACCGTGTGGCTGGCTGGCTGGCACACACACACACACACACACACACACACCATTACTAAGCAACGCTGTGGTTGTTGACGCTCATGTGTACAGTGATCTACAACAATGAGCCCGTTATTGTCACTTACTTATCTCAACGGCCTTCTGTGTTACTGGTGCACCGCCAAGTCCTCATGTCTGCTCGTTCATTCTCAAAGCATTATACATCCAGCCATCTGTCCCACTATAACCAGTCTACTTAGTTTCTCTGTCCCACTATAACCAATCCACTCAGTCTGTCATTGCCACGCGTTTGAGCTGAAATCGAGGACTATTGTCAAAAACATCAGAAAGCCCTCACAAACCTCACTGAGGGGAAAAGTTCCAAAAAGAATGCAGAAGTCACCGATGGAGGATCGACCTTGAGCAGTTTAGCATTTAGCATGTTAGCCAGACCAAGCACTCCTCCGAGGCTGCAGAGTCAGAGTCCACAGCCGGGTGGGTGGAGGGGGTCTGGGGGTAGGGTTCCTTGGACCCGGAGGAAAGACCCTCATTGTCCGCACAGGGAGCCTGCTGGCTGTTCCCGGCAGGCGTCTTAGTCCTAGAAGGCTAGTCCAAGTGCTGTCGATGAAAATTGCCGATGAGTCGGGGGTCGCAGATGTTTACGAGCCGAAACCCATTGCCTCTCCTCCGGACCGTATCCCTCCCAGTTGACCAGGTACTGAAGACCTTGCCCCCAGCAACGGGAGCGCAGCAGTCGATGAACCGTGTAGACAGGACCTCCTTTGATGAGGCCAGGGGGCAGAAGAGGAGGAGCAGCCGGCACCAAGGGACTCTCCCGGACAGGTTTGACCTTGGATACGTGGAACGTGGGGTGGATGCGCATGGATCTGGGGAGCTTGAGCCTCACTGCCGCCGGGTTGATGATCCTCTCGATCTCGAAAAGGCCTGATGAATCTTGGGCCCAGTTTCTTGGACTCTAACCACAAGGGTAGGTCCCGGGTCGACAACCACACTCTGACCAATCTGGTAGATGGGGGCTGGAGTGCGGTGTCAGTTAGCCGCTGTTGCGTAGCAGACAGCAGACCGGAGCAGGGTTGGTCGGGCTCTCGTCCAGGTCTGGCGGCAGCGGCGGATGAAGGTCTGGACTGAAATGCAGGAAACCTTCTCCAACGCGGGGAACAGAGGCGGCTGGAACCCATATGCGCACTGGAAGGGTGACAAGCCTGTGGTGGAGCTGGTCAGGGTGTTATGAGCGTACTCCACCCACATCAATTGGCGGGACCAGGCAGGATTCCGGGAGACCAAGCAGCGCAGGGCCGTTTCCATTTCCTGGTTCTTCCTCTCCGTCTGGCCATTGGATTGGCCAACAGAGGGCAGAATTCCATCCAGAAGATGGAGGTGAACTGAGGACCTCGGTCGGAGACTACGTCGACTGGAATCCCATGCTGCCGGAAGACGTGCAGGGAGATGAGTTCTGCCGTCTCTACAATTGGCCAGCTTACTAAATCTGTCGACCACTGTCAGGATGGCGGTGTGGCCCTCAGATGGTGGTAGCCCAGTGACAAAGTCCAGGGAGATGTGGGACCACGGCCGATGAGTCACTGGGAGAGGCTGTGACAAGAAGACATAAATCTTGCAATTTGTCCGAACGTCAAGTCCAAACTAAGCCGTGGAGGAACAACCTTAAAAACATTTGGAACATCTAACTTAAGACAATTTTTATATTGTAATTCATTCCCGTGCATGCTGCTCAGAGAAATCATAGTGACCAGCTTGTCTGTTAACAGCACTAAGTCTCTCCCTAGCACTTATAACAGAGTTAACAGCCAAGGTTAACACAGGTTCTTTGACTTGCAATATGATGTGTTCAAATGTAACCTTGTAAAATATAGTCTTTGGCCAGAAACTTGAGTAAATACAGTTCTTTGAAGAGGATGTGTTCACAGCACTATAAAATAGATATTAGAGAGGAAATGATGACCTGTTTCAATATGTTTGTATACATTCAGTATACCTTCAGTAATTGGCGTATTATTGTGCTAACACCAGTTAATGGTGTGCTAATATACTCTTCTAATGTTAGCTGCACAGGTTTTCACTTAGAAATGTAACGTTTTAATAACGTATATCTTCTCCCAACCTCTCCGGGTAACGATTATCATTACACAACGTTTAACCATGACTAGCTCCTAATCCACAAAACCTGCCCAAAATTGTAGACGATCTGAAACAATTGCATGAGTCTTTATGGAACACAGCCCATGCCACCCAGGAAGAGCGCTGGGCTTTTAAAGCTAATTTTACACAGTGGCAAACCGGTGTCATTACAATTTCCGGGTTCGTCACGTGATGGCGTGGGGTCCAAAAAGACTTTTTCCAAAAGACTTACATTGGGAAAGAGATGTTTTTTTGAGGTAAATAAACTCGCCAATATGAATACATGAATATCCATTATTCAAATCATTAGGTCATAAAATGCACTAATAGCTGAAACCCAGACTTCCTTCGTTCATGTGAATGAGCCTGAGACAGAGATGCTGGGGTTAAAGGAAACGCTACTGCGCTTGCTCTATAATGCGAATTTGCTTTATGCACCACTGAGCAACTTTCATAGGATTGGATGGGGCGCCGCCTTTGATGCTGTACATGGTTCTCTTTATACATCCAAATTGAGCTGTCCCCCATTCAGTTTCTGTTAATACCTGGGCAGTGCCACATTAGCGTTTAATACATTCTGTTAATTCCTTGTTTATTCCTCCTCGGATGCAACACGTTTTTCGGTTCAGTTCAGGCAAGTAATGGTTGTATTTTAAGTCAACTAGTATATTCAGTTAAATTGTATTCAATTTATATATGTTTGCATGAGCTTATCTGTAATCCAATTGGAGAATCCTGCGCGTGGTCCAGATCCATGGAGCGGCTCCTCTGCACGCGGCAGCCGTTGAAAATCCTCACTCGTTCTCTGTCAGAAATCGACCCGGCATATAGTAAAGTTGAATTTCAATTCGAGTAAGTTGCAGTTCTCATAGTCCTTAATCACTCTACGTATTAGTTTAAATGTTCACAAACCTAAAACAAACAGTTAGCGACATTTGTCCTTCCATGTACGGGCATGACACTGAACACGTGATGCAGTTTAAACTAGCACATAAAAAGAAAACACACTCACCAGATAACAATCATCAAATCCTGGTCCTCCGTCACCTTCTTGTGAACAACAACCTACCGAAACACGGCACCTCTGTCGTGAACAACTTTAACATCTACTTTTAAGTGGTAAATCTACTGTTTTTCTCTCCTCGCTGTAGCTAGCTTAAACACCAAACTCGGCTTCTTCTTCTTCTTCTTCTACGTTATTTTTCACTCGCCTCCCTTGACCCTTTCGTCAGACTTCTGGCGCCCTCTGCGGGATATTTAGAAAACAGCCAATATAAACCTGAATGTTTTCTGATAAATCTTTGAGGATAATATTTTCGATAACTGCAAGCCCACCAGTAAATGGTATTATTTACAACATGTGGCATTTGTTTACCCGTGTCGCCTGTGTGCTCTGCCCTCCTGTGGCTCCAAACACACCAGCAGCTTCTTCTCTGCTGCAGCTGCTGGTTTAACATCTTTAATTCGTTATTTCCACCCCTGGGAATAAGCCAAAATATCCCATGTATGTCCAATGTAAACCAAAACTGGATCGAGGCATGTGTGGGTACATGTTACTGAGTGTAAAACTTCAACTCAACACAAAAAACAAAGGAAATCCAATACAACTGTCATATATTTATTAATAATCAGTTCTCAGAGTTCTGAACTTAATCCTCATTCCACAAATGCTACTCTAAGATCATGGCACACCGCTCTCTCCAAATACGCTTGCAATGCACAGTCAAGTGCCCGTTTCTCCATCATGATTCAACCACATTGGGTCACTAAGAAAACTGACAATAATACTTCCAGTGAAAATATTTTTACACGCCCAAAAGGCCGTTTATCCTTATGAAACACAATGTGTTTTTAAAAGTTAAAAAGTTTAAAAGTTAGTCATGGTCAGTTCATGGTCACCGAAGGCTACACCCCAACGCCACCAGGGGTTTGTGATTTTACAGTACAACCTGAAACTGATCCAAAAAAAATTAAACATAATAACATAAAGAGGTTAGTATTACTATCACTAAGTTTGTGGAGAGATGGATAGTTTTTAATAGTTTTGTAGTAGCCTGCATATACTCCCTAAATCCCCAAATATCTTCCCAGCTCAGTTGAGACTTAGCACCTACAATCATGGAGGGATGACCAAGGAAACAAGTTCAATGAATGTTAGTAGGTTTGTTGTAATTTCAATTTGGGAAAGGTGCACATTCCTGAATACATTTGTGTTTGACCAAATTGCCATAAGTATCAGAAGGAGTTCAAAAGTCATTTTTCGCCATTGTAGATAAATCCGTCCATGTGCTGAAAGAAAACGTGGTCGCTGTTGGACCATTTCACAAATCCAGTGAGCTGATGTTCTGGTGCGCTCTGCTGTTCACTTTAATGTACGAGCATCTGGCGCCATCCAGTGTAATCTTTTCATTGTTGCATCCGGGTATGTTGATTTAGATCCAGTGCCGTGTGGCTTTAGAATAAACTATTAGGTTTCCGCGTGTTGCAGATTATTTATGTTTGCATCTGTTCTTTAGACGACATTGAAATGTGCCAGCCAGGACACGGCTTTTAGTTTGGTGGAGACGTTTCATCTTAAATTATGTCATTTGAGTAGAATTTAATATTGAACAATAAAGTAAATACTGAGCATGTTGTCTCATAATATATTCATGATTTGGTTGGACCTAAAACATGTTTGCATCTGTTGTTTCTTTGTTCTTGGGTGGTGTATGATAACGTTAAACGACGTTCAGCTCACCTTTCAGTCAAAAATGTCCCGACCGTAAACGAAGGCAACGCGAGAAAACAGCTCTGCGGTCACATGACTTCGGAACAAACCACGTGACCGAATCAGCAAAGAGTACAGCGGAGCTGCTTTACGAGGTGGGATTTGGAGAAGTTGCCCAGGATGCCCGGACCCGAAAGGCTCGGCGGAGTTTTCCGCGTTTTGTGCCTGTGTGCCGTGTTTGAAGCGGCATGTCTGCTGGACGCCGGCATGCTCTTTCCCCGGGAGTCTTCCTCCCGCGAGGTGAAGGAGCTGAACGGGCTGTGGAACTTCAGGGCTGACGGCTCCTCAAACAGGAACCAGGGCTTCGAGAGGGCATGGTACAAAAGTCGCCTTGCAGAGGTGAGCACCACAGAAGCTAACAGCATAAAGCAGCTCACTGTGTTTGTTTTGACAAAGAAAGTAAAATAAAACAGAATATATATATATATATATATATAGGTCAAAAACGCGTAATACTACATATACTTAGCACTCCATAGGGGGTGCAAAACACAACAAAGTACATTAAAGTCTGCAGAAACTTACAGCTGAGTATCACAGTGACACACTGTATGCCCATAACATTTTATAGTGATACCACTGGAGAATAATGTTTACTACTATCAGCCGCTTCGTGGATAGTACTGAAAATTTAAATTGTTAATTAAAGTAATTATTTACCATATGTCCAACTTTATATCTGTTTCACAGGCACACTCAAGTTCATATAACCCATTGAAACATACTCATAATACCAATTCAATTTATTTTGTATAGCCCAGAATCACAAATTACAAATTTGCCTCAGAGGGCTTTACAATCTGTACACATGCAACATCCTCTTGTCCCGGACCCCTCACATCGGAACAGGAAAAACTCCCCCAAAAAACCCTTTAACGGGGAGAAAAGAGGGAGAGACCTGTGGGAGAGCAACAGAGGAGGGATCCCTCTTCCAGGATGGACAGAAGTGCAATAGATGTCATGTGTACAGAATGAACAACATTTACAGAGTTACAACACATTCAATGCATATGACAGAACCACGGCAGGAGGCAAGACCAGGGTCCAGGTATCACCAGGATCCACGGGAACCTGCGAGGTGGATACCATAGGACAGTGATAACAACCTTTGTGGCCCCTTACAATACAGCATAATTCACTTGGTGACCCCCCCTCATCACAGGTTAAGGCCTTAGTGTGGACGTTTCTTGTGAGCAGCAGGGTTATTCATTTATTTTCTTCTGAGATTGTTTCAGTTTTTAAGAACATAAAAATATCCGAAGAAAAAACCCCAGAGAATAGTCCATAAAATGAAACATAATTGTAACAGAAATGTATTTTAACTTTGTCTCCGTTAACCATCTTGTGATCCCTCAGATATATCATTTGGGGACCTGACCCCCAGTTTGGGACCCAACTATTGCCATAGGAGCAAAACGATCAAGGAAAATACCATTATCGACTCCCTTATCATGATATTATTATTATTATTATTCCTGATTACAGTCATTCCCGTAACTACAAACTCACCACTGAGTACAGCAGATCCACTGTAAGAACTACATTATCGCCTGTCAGTGATGCTTTATTTTCGTAGACTGGCCCAGTGATCGACATGCCAGTTCCTGCCAGCTACAATGACATCACCCAGGACCCCGCAGTGAGAGATTTCATTGGCTGGGTTTGGTATGAGAGAGAGGTTGTGGTGCCTGCCCGCTGGATCGTCGACGAAGGAACCAGAGTTGTGATCAGAGTGGGAAGTGCTCACTATTATTCAGTCGTGGTGAGTATTACACGTACCTTCCCTATCCAGAGTTAAAAAAAATAAAGGTCATCTGCTTCACTTCTTGCCGTTTTTAAAGTATGACACCCATCCCTTTTACATTATCCACCTCTTGTAATAATGTGGTCGAGCTAATATGTTTTCGTTGTCTCTACCCTTTGCAGTGGGTGAATGGGGTGAAAGTGACGGAGCATAAAGGTGGCCATCTTCCTTTTGAGGCTGAGATAGGGGCTGTAATCCGCAAGGACCCAACTCAGCCGTGCAGGATCACCATCGCTGTCAACAACACTCTGTCTCTGGACACTCTTCCACCAGGAACCATCCAGCACATGACTGACCGCACCAAGTAAACTCAATCTTTTTTTTATTTTAAAGTGAAACACTGACTGAAACACCTACATTTTATTTTTTGCGTGCTGACTTCACGGATGCAAACTATTTGCAAATGTGTGTGGAGAGTTGTGTAACTGAATCTCAATCTGTGTTTGCGTTAGCAGATTTGTTAATGTGTAAATAAATCTCGAAATGCTTACTGAGATTTGTGGATGTGTACGGGAATCTGCCAATGATTTGTAAATGTGTACATAGATCTGTAATTGTGTGGACACATGTATACATAGATCTGTAATTGTGTGGACACATGTATACATAGATCTGTAATTGTGTGGACACATGTGTAAATGTGTACATGGATACTATAGGCTGAGGTGTAATTTGCTCCATGAGCTGGAAATACGATCCTGAATACACATTTGCAGATTCCCGTACACATTCACAAATCTCAGTAAGCATTTACAGATTATTTTACACATTTACAAATCTGGTTACGCGCACACAGATTGAGCTGCAGTTACACAACTCCCAACACACATTTGCAAATAGTTTTATGGGGCCATTATTGTGGAAAAACTAACTTTGATTTGCTTCGATTCACATGTTTAAAGTCGTATTTTAAAATACTAATTTTCCCTTGTTTTTATATGGGAAATTAATGGGCGGGATGTTCAAACCTACAAGTTTTTCAAGTTAGACAAGTAATTTGAACTTTCAACAGATAACAGCACTTTCACTTTCAAAAAATATCTTTATAATATTTTTTAAAGTTTTGAGAAATTGCAGTAAATATTTAATGTTTATTTGGCCAGTAACAGATTTTAACATGGTTACATCATTGCTCCTGTACTGACCCGTAAACTGCTTTCATCAGTTTTACTTTGAGTTCAACTGTGACGAATCGTAAGAAAATTCAGTTGCTGTTGAGCACTTGTATTTCAAGTTCAGTTGTATTCATGCTTACACTCCTCACATTCCTTCCACTACGGATGACACTCAGCAGTGACACTTCAAATGACATTTCAGCTCCTAGAGTCAGTGTTTGGTTTGTCCGCTCTGACCTACTGTAGAAACATGGCAGTTTTTTTTCTGAGAATGTAGCCTTTTCTAGTTTCATGTCGTATTTGGGCGGGATTAAAATGGGTGTAATGTTGCTTGTCAGTTCGGATAATGAGGAAAATGTAACTGCTCAACAGGTACCCCGATGGATACTTTGTGCAAAACATCTACTTTGATTTCTTCAACTATGCCGGCATCCATCGCCCTGTATTGCTGTATACTACTCCCAAGGCTTATGTGGATGACATCACCGTGGTGACTGACTTCTTGAATAACACTGGTAAATGAGTGCACGTGATTATGATAAAACGACTAATTGATTTCAAATCATTTGAGAGTAAACTGCTCAAAGAAGCTACGTGTGATTTTTTTTTATTTTTTTTTGTAAACTACCGAAGAGTAGTCATGTGACGTAGTTCAGAGTGTTGTCGTCTCTTCATTTCAGGCCTCGTCAATTACAAGGTGTCCGTCCAAGATGCCACCTCAGCCTCCCTGAAGGTCACTTTGATGGACAAAGATGGCCGCTGTGTGGCCTCCTCCAGCGGGCCGTCTGGAGTCCTCAAAGTAACGGATGTCAATTTGTGGTGGCCGTACTTGATGCACGAGAACCCAGGTTACCTTTACTCTATGGAGGTAAGACAACGTTTCTTTGAGGTGCGGGTCACATGAGCACTAGATTTGTGACGGTAATAAGGCAGTTGGCTTGAGAAAGAATAATATGTTATTGATTATAGTCGGCCATTATGAGGGTGAACATTGTTTAATGCACCTTGTGTTCAAGCTTAGGAGGAGGAGAAGTTTGTTTTATAATACAATAATCATTTCACAGCAAACATTTTGCCCATCATAGTAGTAGTAGTATAGTAGGGATAGGAAATAGCACAGAGCGTCAATGCGTTAATGTCAATAGAAACACCTGTGCTTTTTATTTCCCACGATGACAAGCCAAAATGTCTGCTGTGAAAATTGTACCATCGTATACTGTAAACTCTCTTTCTTGTACCTGTGATTCTGCTCCATCACTTTTCTTCTTCACCTGATATTTGCAGCACTTTGAATGGACTCCCCAACCCGCTGTAGTTGTTGGATATTCAGCAAAACCTCTTCTATTTGCAACGTCTTCTGAAACGGATGTCTCTGACATTTGCATTTTAACATCTAGGTTCGCTTAATGGCAGCCGATGAGAGATCTGCGTACGAGGATGTGTACACTCTACCAGTTGGTATCCGCACAGTCAACGTCACCAGCACCCAGTTCCTCATCAACAACAAGCCCTTCTACTTCCATGGAGTCAACAAACATGAGGACTCGGACGTGAGTACCACTAGAGGGAAGCAAGGCCTTTACCAAAAGAAATAGACAGGAAATTTGGTAGAAATAGTTGATCCAGTCCGATAATCCCATCCTGACGTCCTCTGTTTACTTTGTGTTGTAGATTCGAGGTAAAGGCTTGGACTGGCCCCTCATTGTCAAGGACTTTAACTTGTTGAAATGGTTGGGGGCCAACTCGTTCCGCACCAGCCACTACCCCTACGCAGAGGAGATCATGCAGATGTGTGACCGCCACGGCATCGTGGTGATAGATGAGTGCCCGGGCGTGGGCATCAAAGACATGTAAGTGTCATGATGAAACACACCTAAAGGTCACATTGCTGTGACCTTTAGGTGTATTTGAGGGTTCACAGTGGGCATCATCATCACAGTGTATGAGGACAGGAACAGAGGAGAGTGTGCTGTCCATTTCTGTAAAACCTCCCGACGGCTGTTAACATCAACAAAGACATACTGCACATGCAAGAAACCTCACCCTGTTAAGATTGTGAAACACTCTTACACCGCGTTGACGCACCCACTTCCAATGGATATGAATGTCTGCACTCAGTCTGCAAAAATTGGACTTTCATTTGGAAAATAAATTGGAAAATGCAACACAATAAAAAATAAACTAATCATGTCCGGTCACAAATACAATTTGACCTGTCCTCACTGTTTGTGCATACAGATGTTGATAGAGTGCTTTGTCTTGTGGGCTGGTTCAAGACCGGGTAACCTGAAATGACGGGCGGATCCGTGTGTTAAGTCTAGCTTTTCCAAAATCGTCATCTCTGTGATATTTGTGCCTTGCCGATGTAGTCGCAGTTTCGGAAACGCGTCCCTGGCCCATCACCTGGTCGTCATGGACGAGCTTATACGTCGGGACAAGAACCACGCCTCTGTGGTCATGTGGTCAGTAGCCAATGAGCCGGCTGCAGAGATGGCCCCTGCTGACTTCTATTTCAAGTGAGTGCTGGTCGTCATGCACAAACTGACTTTTTTGATGTAAGATCATTCACTTTGCAGGGAGTTTTTAAGATGTTTCTTTTTGTGAATTTTAAGCTTCATTTGATAAAGATGGGTACAAGAACTGGGCTTACCACGATGGAGATGCCCAAACTTTTAAAAAGTGTGAAGCTTTAAACTTTTTGTATGCGAGATACTAGTTTGTTATTCAGTCACAGCCAATCCCTTCATTCTGATACGTGGACTGCAGGAAGAGTAGTCATGAACCTGCCCTGAACACAAACAGCTGGAGCTCAGTAACAGCCTGAGGCTTCAGGAAGTACTACTCGACCCGCCCAGGCACCATAGTTGACATCAAGTAAAGCAGTATGGGGGAAATGTGGAGTACACGCAGACGTGCTTTGTTACACTGAAGTTGTAAACAAACTGGAGCAGTTTCTTCAAATGAAAGAGGTTAGCACAGGGACATTGTTGTGATTATATAACACTGTAATCTTAAAAAAAAGAACTTGCAATGTAAACACCTACAGGTGCTTTTGTTCTTTTCTGCAGGACCTTGATAAAACATACCAAAGATCTGGATCCAACCCGGCCCGTCACTTTTGTCACAAACAGTAACTATGCCAGGGATAAAGGGGTGAGTTTCATCAACACTGAAGACCTGCAAAGAATGTTTATTATTCAACACATTAGCAGTAAATATTTGTATTGATGCAAGTGGTGTCAATATCTGAAGAAAAATTTAGACCGGTGATGTAAAAAATGCAAAAGGCCGGTTAAGTGGACCCGTTTCCTATGTAGACATCAAGGGCTCATTCTAACACAATGATGCTCAGATTGACACCAATGAAAACATAGATATGAATATTATACTCCATTTCTGCCAATAGAGCCCCCTAAATCCTGCACACTGGTCCTTAAACACTCACTTTGCTGCAGTGATGTAGATGTGTACTCCAGGGTGTGTCAGTACACAGTGGCATCACCATCATATCAACCGCTCCCATCGGTGGTCAGAGGTGAAACACGCTTTAAACTGACGACCAAGTGAGAGCAGCAAAACACTGCTTTACAGTCTGGTGTTAAGCTACGCTTTACAGTCGTTTGAACTACAGAAAGGTTGGCTACCTGTCAGCAGAATGTGTAGCCGGGATACTAAAAACTCACATTTTAAGGTCAAATACTGTAACTTTGTTTGTTTTTTATCATATATGAGCAAATTTCAAATTCAAAAATTTTGTTCAGGCCAACTTGTGGGGTAAACGACAAAAAAAATGTAAGTTCTGAAAAAGTAGTTTAGAATCTTAATTTTCTGTAACATTAAATATAAGTTGACCATATAGGCAACAATCAAAGTTAAACTTTGGATCACATTTGATTGACAGTTCTGGGAGCGTAAACAAATAACCCTACAACTGTTGTTGGATTCTGATTTAATTGTTGCTAAATTATTTGCTGATCCTTCCCCAGTACCAGCCATTAAATATAATGTCAAATATTAAAATCTCTAAAGAAGAAAATCTGCAGCTGCTTCCTTTTTTACGTGGCTAACATGCTACTCAGGCTGAATAAAACAACTCAATAGAAATGGCCAATATGGTCGCTGATGGTTCCATTTGCTTTTGTGGATCATAAAAAGGTTTTACATCAGTTTTAAATTGAGACTGTTTCATAACTGCTTAAAAACTCCATTCAGTTGCTTTTAACATTCAAGCCTGTTAACAAAAAAAAAGGGAGTAAGAGTCGAGCGTTCCTGCTGAGCTTCTTAGGTCGTTGACCTGATGTCAAACCATGTTGTTGACATGCCTCTCATTCCTTTTCTGTGAGGAATATCAGGCTGTACTTGGTAGCTTAGTCTCTGACCACCTTCAGACACTATTCATTTACCTCAGGGCCAATAAATAACCTGTGAGCAGTTGCTGCTGCACTCTTATCATGGCCAAAAGTGAGAAAGCTACCACTCCATAGTGAAAGGCATTCACTTTAGTGTTATGGGAATACTGGTTTGTATTTGCCCCATTACAGCTAATTACTACTAGTAGAAAATCTGTTACTTCATTGTGAAAAGATGCGTTGATCTACAATCATCACAGCATTCATTTACAATTTAGGCTCATGAAGAACTGATGGAAGTGTGTTGAACAACAGGCATGTCATGGGCGTGTTGAAGAGTCTCTCTGCCAGTCCTATTCAGTCTTTCCTCTCGTCTCTAGGCTCCCTATGTGGACGTCATCTGTGTAAACAGTTACTTCTCCTGGTACCATGATCCGGGCCACCTAGAGGTCATCCCCATCCAGCTCAACACTCAGTTTGAGAACTGGTACAGAAAGTACCAGAAACCCATCATCCAGAGCGAATATGGAGCAGATACGGTGCCGGGGCTTCACAGTGTGAGAACTCATACACATCCAACTGTCTGACTGTCATGCCCCAGCGATTGTAGTATTCTAAGCCTAAGCCCGCCCACATCGGTCTTAGCATGTTTGTGGAAGGAAAGCTGTCTTTTCTCTCTGCAGGATCCACCCGTGATGTTTACTGAAGAGTACCAGAAGCAAGTCCTGCAGAGCTACCACAACGTGTTCGACCAGAAGAGGAAGCAGTACGTCATCGGTGAACTCATCTGGAACTTTGCAGACTTCATGACTTCACAAGGTACGGCAGCCGGAGAACACGGCGACCTGTGAAACCACAACGGTTGTCATTTCTCCCAGCTCCTGTTAGTGTCCTGAGTTTATTCAGATATTCGTTTCTTTCCGTGACTACGACACGCGGAACAACACATAGTTGATTACGTGAGTATGCCGGTTTGCATGGAACGCACCATTCAAGTGGCAAGTTATTGACCGTTTGTTTATGTGCATAGACCTATAAAACTAAAAGATCTACATTAACGTCACACTGTAAAGATACAATACTGTAATATTATTGTATATTATTGTATTATATTATAGTGTAATATATTCTACAGTATATCATTTTTGTATTTGTATAATATTATACTTGAATGAAAGATTAGTGTTAGAAGTTATGGTTATCATTTATTGGAAAGTTAAACGATTAATCAACCAATGTAGAAAATAATTGATAAATTTATCGAAAAATTATTTGTTAGATTCATCGATCAAAAAAAAAACAAAAAAATAAAACTTCGCGGCAGCTTTAGATTCATTACGGAGTCATTTTTAAGAAAAACATTGGCTGGTTCCAGCTTCTCAAATGTGAATTATGATGGTAAAATACATATTTCCTTTGGATTTAGTATGTTGGTCAGACAAAACAAAAGATTTGAAGATATAATTTTGGGTTTTTGGAAATTGTGCTTTCTTTTACCATTTTCTGATATTTTATATGGATTAATAAAGAAATAATCAATAATAAAAGTAATGATTAGTTGCAGCCCTAGTCTCGAGCTGGTCCACAGGATCTAGATCAGATCTTTTTGTGATTGGTGTTCGTTCCTATATATAAATCTATTAAAAACAGCCCTGTCAGCTCCTATGTGGCAGCAGAGAACGTTGTGAGCAGAGCAGTATTTTGTTGATGCTGAAATTGAAGAGACCGTCTAAATCCTGTCCAGACCTTCTGACACCAGATTCATTCCTACATCCTCTCTATGATTTGTAGAAAAAACACTATGAACTGAACTGATGATCAGTAACCTAATATTGTTAGAATCATGCAGGGTTACTAAGGTTTCTTATGTTGCGTAACATTTCTAAAGGTTCCTCTTGTTTTTGGGCCCCGAGCATGACGAGGTTCTTGTCGGTCCCTCTCGTGTCTGCAGGGATCATGCGTGTCGTGGGGAACAAGAAGGGTGTTTTCAGCAGGCAGAGGCAGCCCAAAGCGGCAGCGTTCATCCTGAAGGAGAGGTACTGGAGACTGGCCAATGAAACGGGCCGACTACCTCCTTGGACCAAGTACCCCTGCTCACTCCGACACCCGGTCCAGGACAGGCTCGATTCCATGTAAACTGTGTGCCTTAATGGAAAACATGCTGGTAAAATGATGTACGTTTCTTGAGGCAGTTTGGTTTAATGATCAAACCACCATGACATTCAGCTCCGCTTCTCTTATGGTCTGCAGTTTTGAACTAAACCACTGACCTTTTATAGAACGTTTTTTCCAGCTTTAATGATAATTATGTTGGTGATATTGTTTTCTGAGGATACTCATGACTAACTGTGTCACACTTTATTTAGTTGTTACAGGATTTTCTGATACATATTCATGTGTGTGGCAGGGCTTTCCACTGCTGTCATAGAAGGGTCACGGTCAAAATCCTTCATCCCCGGTTAGCTTTGACCTTTCTTCCAATCAGGTGATACGAGTTCAGAGAAGAAATGCCACATTACAAGCTAACAGTAAAGGAAGGGAGCTTCTCCTGTTCCTTTTTACCACGTGTTTGGGGACAGCTTCTTAAATAAATGCATAAAATAGTGTTTTAGCAGTTTGATACAACAACTTTGTTGGAAGGCGCCATCATTTCTGAGCATGTTTCAGCTAAGTGCTTAATACATGTACTGTTAATGTGAATTGCAATGCTGAATCCAATCATAAGCGTTTTATTTTTATATGTGAAAATCAAGAGAGATTTGGATATGAATCAAAGCTATTAAAGACAAAACATGTCCTCAATATGCACACTATTTATTTTTTCCCAAAGCCTTCCTAATGTTACTTTCGCAGGTTTGAAGAGCACGTTGAAGTCTACTTTGCCGTGTTGGTGCCGATTCTCTAAGTCACTGTGACCGAATGCTTTCAAAAACTCAACATACAGCTAAAGGGTTAACATGACTGCAATACAACTTTAGGACTATCAGTGACTCTGCATGCACCCTCATCACATGACTGACCTCCATGTACAGCTGAACAAATATTAAGGCACCGCTTTAGGTTTCTTTCAAATGTACAGCGGCTACCAGCAGCAGCACGTGCATACAAGATGGTGTAGACATTTTATAGAAAGCCCTTTAATGCTTTTTGGATTTGGATAGTTTCCATTTACACAATCGCTGTTGCGTAACTGCAGATTAATGAGTCATTAAACACTGGTTTCAACACCTTTCCTGAAACAACTAATCTACTGAACTATCAGTGCCGATTATTAAAGAGACTTTCTAGTCACGGTGACACAGAGGTTCAGAGACAATACATTACAGTATTTTATCCAAAGCGACTTACAATAAGTGTATTCAACATAGGTATTCAAGAGAACTGCTAGTCATCAGAAGTCATAAGTGCATCTCCTTTATTAAACAAGCATCTAAGAGCATAAACCAGAGCAAAGGTACAGAAACAAACTAATACGAATACAATAAGGGCAACAAACACTAAGTGGAAGGCTCAGGGTACTTCTTGAAGAGGTGAGTTTTCAGCCTGATGAAAGATGGGCAGCGACTCTGCTGTCCTGAGGTCAGTGGGGAGTTCATTCCACCACTGTGGGGCCAGGACAGAAAACAGCCGTGACCGGGTCGATCGGCCGTAGGGACCTCTGAGCGACGGGACGAGGCAGCAGAGCGAAGTGGTTGGGCCGGGGTGTAGGGCTCGACCATGGCCTGGAGATAGGAAGGAGCTGTTCCTTTTCACTGCCCTGTAGGCTAGCACCAGTCTTAAACGGGATGTGAGCTCTTACAGGGAGCCAGTGTAGAGAACGGAGGAGGGAAGGTTGTGTGGGAGAACTTGGGGCGATTGAACACCAGACGAGCTGCAGCTTTCTGGACAAGCTGTCATCAGCAGGAGGGATGTTGATATTTGACTTCTTATGTCACCTAAGGTTGGCGTTCAATAGCATTTTATTGCATCTGCATCCAATTATCTGAAGGCCCTTATTTAATTTATGGTTTAGCTTTCAGAACAATTTAACACAAGTAAATGTAGGAAAAATTACCTCAAAGCATGACACTCAAAGTGCTAAAACCTAACAATTGCCAGATTTGATGACTTCTTAGAATGAGCTTAAAGGGGCATTCCACCAATTCTTCACATGAAGTTCACTCTACTCATCACGAGCATTGCTGCTAAACCTGTGAAATCTGGTGCGTGATTTCTGTTGCGCTGAAGGAGCTTTCTAAAGTAAAAAACAAAAAAAACCTGATGACTATCCGGGGTTAGACGCTATCAAGGTGCCTTAAGGAAATTCTAGGATCCTGTGTTGTGGTAGTTTTTGACGTTAGAGACTACTAATCAGGATCTCTCTATAGTTTCATATATTTTGAACGTGAAACTAGAGGTCCAATAGCAAGTTTACAATTTCTTCAGATCTGTCTTAAAACAATGCTCATTGTTTTCTTCTTGCAGCAATCATTCCTCCTGTTCCCTCATTTACACGCTTCCAATGGAAGGCTTGGGGGGGACAAAATCCACAGCCCTCGTTCTGTGCCAAAATATATTCAACAGTTTATTTGAAGTTAATGAGGCTTCAGCAACACTGATAAAATTGTCTTCAAAGGTTACGGATACAGAATTCCCTTTGTTTCTCCTGGCTGAGCTGTGGTAGAGAGACAGTGACACAAAGAGGAAATGTACTACAAACACTTGATTTTTGTAACATTAGATCAACTTTGGAATAGTTTTACACAAGGAGCTGTGGAGTTTGTCCACACTCGCCTCCATTGGGAGTGCAATAGGAAGGGATCTTTTTAATGGCCAGTATAAACGGGAGGAATGATTGCAAGCAAAACCTGTTTTAATGTTCAAAATCTGACTATTATTCAGAGATAAATAAATCGTGCATTAATTGCAAGATTCCGCTTCTTGTTTAGACACTGTTACTATATGTGTAACAGTGTCTCATTCATTCAAATGACTTAAAATAAGCAGTATTTTCAGAGGGAATGTTTTAATGGTAGATCATTTCCACATGACAATGACACAATTAAAAATGTTCTCATGTCAACCACAGTTTTCCCTTAAGGTAAGATGGATTTGAACAGATTTTATTTTTTTTGCACCCTCCTACCATTCATGTAACACTTTTCCATGTAAGAAAATACAGCATTTTAAAACATATTTGGCAATACAGAAGCAAACTCAGTAAGTTTTCCTCCACAAAGAAATTGAATAAACATTTTATGCTGACACATGGATTCCTAGCCCCCCTCCCCAACTTTTTATTTCATTTTTTACTAAAATAACCGCAGAATGTTAACAGTCTATACAGCTAAAGGGCATAATTAGGGATGGAAAAAAAATAACATTACAATCATGTAGTTTAAACAGAGTGTATTCTTAGCTAACAAACGTGTCCTAGCTAGACAAAATAAAAGATAATTATAGAGGAGTTCAGGAAGGGAAAAGGGGATGACCATTGATTTGACAGGGCATTTTGTCTGGCAATCTCCGAATGGATCAATGTACCGATACTGGATATCAACTCTTTGGGAATTACCAATTTATCAGATTACATCTTCAGGAAAGCAAGCATCAGTGCCCGTTATGGTTACCATTCTTCATTTTACAAGGCGATTACTGTTGCTCGTCTTTGGCTCAAGGCCTGGTGATCAAACAGAAGGCACTTTTGTTGGCATTGGTGATGCAACTAACATGGCAGTTATACCTCAGGACCTAAATGAATATTCTTGAGAATGCAGTTATCGATCGTTTTGACCTTTCTTCTTGACATTAAATCGTCATACAACATGTGTTTACCAGCCAAAGATTTCTAACTTTTGACTCGACATCCAAATTCCTCAGTAACTGCACACGAGTGTGACAGGCTTGCAAATGACTGGAATCATGAACGTAATGTTACCTCCTGTGCACTTGTCAGTTCTATGGTCGCCGGTACTCACGGGACCCATAGCCGTTGCCGCAAAAACCAGCACGCTATGTCAGTTTGACTTGTGCAAGTGAATCCATAGGAGACTTGTCTTACATGCGAGTGCACAGGCGTTCACAGACAAAAGACAAAACAGTGCGGTTGTCAATCTTTTTCTGAGTCGAGATGAAACAGAACCTGATGTAAGCCCGACACGGCAATACTGTATACGGAAGATCTTAAAGATGACTTGCTGAGAAATGATGCAAACATTTGAATCATCCTATGGGAGGACTGTGTTGGTGCATGCATGTTTTTGGCCAGTTTACTACCAATGGTGTAATTAATGTAGCAGAACTGCCGACCATTTTCCAAAGCAAACTATTGTTTGAATGACTCTCTTCCATGCAGCCGTTGGTTCCCACTCTGTACTGAACGGCATGAGAATAATACACTTTCAAAGAGAATGGAATGTGTTTAAAGGGATACTCCACAGAATGTACACATTGAGGTCTGTTCACGGGTGTTGGGGAGTCCTACTGCATACATTTGCTACGTTAGCCACTACTAGCATACCAAAACCCGGTGGTCGAGTTGTACTGTGGGTAATGTAGGCCCCGGGTTTTGACGAGGAGAAAGAAGAACGCATGGAATAAATAAAAGATATTTCTTGGTTTTGCTGCATCAATTGTGAATAAATGTTATTAGAGTGCATGCTAACATGGTGGAGTACTCCTTTAAGTTGGGTTATCCATCAGAGGATGACTGAGGTGTAGACTCGATGCCAAACTGCATCACATTAAATCACTTATACTGGGACCCAAAGGACAAACGTTGACATGGTGAACAGTATATAGATCTTCACTGTGAAGGATTAAGTGCTGGAAGCATCTCTTATTAAAGTGTAGCCCATCACATAGTGAAGTGAACGGAAACTGCCGTCTGCCCGGTATGTAGGAAAACACTATTATGCTTTGGAAAATGGGCAACAATAATGTAACACAGCCTCTAAATGATTAGAAGTAAATGGGTTACAACATGAATGAACAGACAACAATTTCACTTGATAATATCCTGGGAGGTGGTACCTCCTCAATTTCCATTTTCATAGACGAGCGATGACTTCATGAGCGTCATCACAGGAAACGTGTCGCTGAGATTACTTTCCTGGCAGTTGCGATCATCAATACTTCAACAACCCTCACTCCACAAACAACTGTCAGGGGGCACGGAGACGAGCAGTAATGGGAACTATTAACAAGCCGGTTTAACACCACAGATGAATCACATTGGTACAGTTATTACTACGACTGTTCTGGATCTGTGAGTGTAGGATTGTCCGATGTCCAACATATGCGTAAAGCGAGGAGATAGTGTACCATGCACCCGACGGGCAGGGTGCTTTAAATCAGTGGATGGTCCGACTCTGTCACTTAGTGCTGGACTGAACTGGCAATACTGTGGATTTCTAGCAGCGCCACTACCAGCAGTGGTTGCTCTCCCCCCATACTGGGCCTGTACAAACCTTGCTATGTTAGAGATGAACCACTTCATGAAAAGCCTCGGTGTCGGCAGCGGTTCATGTTAGAAACCCACCAGCGACCCGGATGTCTTTCCTACTGGATCCGAAGATCCCACAAACCCTGCATATGGCTTAACGTTCTGCTTTTTAAAAAATAAAAAAAAATAAATAAAAAAATTTTGTCGTACAGAATCTTAACACCCCCGTTACGCCTCTGCCTCTCACGTCAACATCAAGCATTACGTGTTTTGTTCACATCCTGCAAATGAACCGTAACTCAACTTGGCAAGATCACCGTCACCGTTCAATTGACATCAAATGTATACAGGCTGGACAGTGAACACAAGCCAGATGAGCATTAACACATTGAAACAGTAAGATAGGAGATGCCTCTGCCACTCTACACTTCAGCAGACAATCACAGTGTAGCAGCCGTCGCTACCTCATGAGACTATTAGGGAGGGAGAAACACTTCACTGGTATCTTAACTTACAAAACTGTGATCATAAAAATAAAGCCTTGGACCTGTGACAAGAAAACAACGAGCAGACCTGGTAACAACATGACATTACCCCCCCACCCACAACCGAAACGTAAAAAAAAGAAATTAAGGTAATTCACCTTAACACTCCTTTAGGCACATAATTCATTATGGATCCCACTTGTGTGGAGGTCAGGAATGCTTTTCACATAACCAAAAAGAGAATGAAGAAAAAAAAAAAAGTGAGGGTGCCTTTATGCAAACTTGGTGAGAAGAACCCAAAGTTCAGTTTGAAAGACTTGTGTCGGTGGCTTCAGATGAAACGACAACCACTTGCAACAAAGAAATCCACACACTCAACTGCATGCCTGACCAGGATTTGGGGGGCGGAGGACGTCCCGAGCACATCTTCAGACTCCTCCACCTGACAAGTGACATTTATCGCTTTTTTTTTGGTTCCCAATTTACTGATGTTCTCTCCTGTTCTGTTGGTGTGTTGTTGTTTTTTCTTCATTTTTGTCCGTAAAGGTTTGTGTCAACACTAAATCACAATCTAGCCTGGAATATTGCTCAGCAGCTATTTACAGAATAGCGAAACAAACAGTCGGACTGATCTACACACAAGTTTTCTCACATTGTCCCGTGTTGATTTTTAGTGGTCCTCTTCATAAAAGAAACATACTACAAAGTGTAAACATGAAAACAAACTATTCTGTATAAATGTTAATCCTTTTGCCCCCCCCTCTCCCCCGCTAGAACCTTATCTGCAAACTGTAGGATAAACTAATGAGTGTTTTTTATTATTATTTTGGGACACATTATTCGGTTCGGAGTTTTTAGTGCAGATCCGCTGTGCAGCAATCGGACCTTTTCTAACCGTTTCAAGTAAACCCCTTTAATGTCCTGTTTTCTTCCGTTCTGCGATCCTTTTTGTTCACAAGAGAGCTGTCCTCCATCGTTCGGTATCGTGGTCTTCTGCCTCCGCTTGCTCGGGTCGATGTGTTTACACACACACACACACACACACACACACACACACACACACACACACA